TGTACTAACATAGTTTACATTCCCCTTTTGGGCATTGTTCATACCTTAGTAAATCAGTAACAACTTGGATTAAGAATGCCCTCTCCTTAGTACCTACACAACTGGTCACAGATTGAAAAAGCACAGGTTACAAGAAGAGTAGATGAATTGCAAAATTCGCACCCTGACATAAGTAAAATCATAATGTCATATAGAGAGTATTCAGAGACTTTGATGGAAGGTGGAGATGTAGCTGTCTGTAACTTGTGATATGTTACCGGTTTGGGGTATGTAAGAAAATGTTTATGCTGCAAACCTGCTAAGGCTCTGTCAAATTTCCACTCCATGTGATAATGATAAGAGAGAGAACAATATCTAGTATCGAATATAAATTGAACAAAAGCATGTCTCCAACAGGGAATAAAACAGGATAGCAAGTAAATCTTGCATTGTAGAGTGGTGCCCTCTGACTCATTTTTCCTTTCTTCCTTACTTTATCAAATTCCCTTCCTTCAAAGGAACTAATTTCCACGTGGAAGACAGTCCTATCTAACAAATATTTTCCCTGTCCTTCCTCTCCTCCCACAACACTTGAGTCAACAGCAGGGAAATAAGTGTGCATCCTTTTTGCTGATCCCAGCAGCATCAAATTCCTTGTTTTCCCCTTCTAAATCACTATTGTTCTAAGACAGAAGAGTTTTAACAAAATAAATCCTTAAGCATCTTTTCTAAAGACACTTCAGAGAGCTTAATCCCATCCAAAGGAACCTCGGCCAAACGGGAGCTAGTAGAGAGACTGGCTTGTTTCAGCTTAACAAATAAAATGTCTGAAAGCCAGTATGAATACTCTTATACATTGCAGGTAACCCCAAGGAAATGTTACTGATGCCAAAGGATAACACCTGCTCAGTATCAAATGGAGATAAAACAGGACAGATATTGAAAAAAGTTTCTAAGCAATCATTTGATGGCTTGTGAAACAGACTTTCAATATGAGTAGAAGTAAACTTTAGTTTTAATATAGACCTTAACAAGTTCATACAAGGCATCATAAATCATACAATTGAGATCATAACATATAACAAGTAATGAGAGCAGGAAACAGGACACAATGATCTAGAAAATCAATTTCTAATCTGTACTTGTAAACTATTTCAGAATCCAGGTCTCCTTTACAGAAAAGCACAAAAGAGATACTGCATTACCATCCATATCTTTCCAAAAGCTTCCAGAGTGATTTTATCATTTTAGTAACTCTGTACTTCAGATTTGAAACAAACCAGCAAGTCCATTAGGAAGACTATGTATACACTTTAAATGGTCAATGAAACTCTCTAAGGAAAATATATCCACAAATAAAAGTATTTCCAAGGCCTTTGCTTAAAGAAGAAACAGGGAGCTATGCTATGTCATACTTTCTTCTGAAATTTCTTAGAGCAAGAAATTGCTCTATTTGCTCAATATCTTTTAATAAAGACTTTGAGCAAAGTCAACCCTCAAGACCAAGTAATGAATTTTCTGAATATCCTCTTTTATAGAAGTAGCCGCGCTAATGTATTAGAGTACTTTCTAGCTACTGATGCTTTTCATACTTTCACTAACATGAGAAGAGAGCAAAAAAAAAGGTTGGAGGGAGGAAGTCATGAGGACTCCCTTATTTAGTAGCCCAGCAAAAGCTACACACAACACACACTTCAAGGTCTTTGTACTTGTACTTGAGGAAGAAAAAGCATGGTGGGGGAGAGCTGCTGACGAGGCTTCCTTTTCTAATGAGTGGTCTTTCCACACCACATGTTACTACAACACCGGTTACAGAGCAGATTGCAGAGAAATTCCACAGTAAGAGAGTCTTCAAAAGCTGTGGCAGATGTGAGTGGGAAGCTGAAAGATCAAACAAAACAGAACTAATAAGGAAAGCTAAGACAAGCATCTATATGCTACCACGGAGACTTGACAAGAGTTTTGTCCGAAATGTATAAAATGAAAAGCATCATGACAGTAATTTCACATGATAGAGGCCACAGTGTGGGCCTTTCCTACGTTGATGCCTCAGCCACAGAACTTCCTGATAAATCTTCCCTTATTGTTTTCTTTCCACAAGGGATAAGACAGACATACCAGTGAACTGGTAGGTGATAGGTGAGAAAGATATTTTGGAAAACAGCTAAATGGCTTTTTGTACTAGAGTGCATCTATAAGCAGGAGAGGAAAAAGCACTTCATTTATTATGGCTTGTTGTGCCTAGAAGTCCATAATGAACTGTTTACAAATACACAATTTATTTCAAATTTAGTATTAGGTTTAAAGAAACAAATGAAGCACTTTAGAGAATTCCTTTGATTTTAAGATGTGCTCATTAGAAGGGCTGTATAGAACTTTAACCTTGAGAACACTGCTCCTTCAGTCCACACAGTATCTTGACAGAGTTTTAAAACTCCTCTTAGCCAGATCTTTTGCATGCTGACAGTATATGTATTTCTTCTAAGTTAATGAAACTTAAAAAGAGATAATAAGCTGACAAATTATTTCACGTACTTGAAAAATAATAGTGGATTGCATAATATATTTAGAATCCTTCCACTTACTTGTGGGAACAAGTTTCTCTTCCAGTTCTTACTTGACAAATAGTTAGTATTTTCCTTTAAGTCTAATCTAACAATCTAATAAATATAAAATGGATTCATTTTATACTTTTTTTTGTTGAGAAAAAACATTAGGTTTCTCTTTAGCTTGCTAGTAAAAAAGTAGCCTCACAGGCCATCTCCTATTCACAAATAGGAGGTTATTTAATGATAGCACAGCTAACATTATTTGTGAGAGTTAAAACTCCTTTATTATGGTCTGGGAAGGATCTAGAAACGAAATAAAAACTTTGTGTTAGACAATGAGGTACATTAATCTTATTTTAAGACACTGAACAGGATAAAATAGTTAAAACAAAATGCCATGCTCTAACTGTACAATTATAGGACAGAAAAGGGGAAATAATTAAGATCTGAGGTTGCAAACACTATAAGCTGGGAAGTGTTGAATAGAAGGGGAAAGGCTTTGGGGAAATCATGTTAGCCCATAATGAAGAAAAATTACCATATATAAAGCTGGCTGTTTTGGTTTTCCCCATAGTTTTGAGCTTGGTTTTTTCATATACTGTACCTTCATGTTTACATAATTATAAAGTTAAAAAAAAAAAGGGGAGGGGGGAGATTTCAGTGTTCTGAATTCACATCATAGCCAGTGGTGGTCACTGGGACATCAGACATGGCAGATGCGCTTTAATCCAGAAATAACCTCTTTGCTGGGAGGCAAGCATGGATAGTGGTACAGGATCTCTGATCCTACCTCTACATTACTTAAATAGACTTCTGAAAATTTTCCGGAGAAAAAAAAAAATACAGTGTCTTCTGAACACTAGGTTTTCCGATTAACTACTCTGGTCTGCAAATTGAAATATAAATGCACATTTTTATTCCACTGGAAAAAAAGGCTGAATTACATTCTTTTGTAATTAATTAAATGCTGCTGAAGGAGGAGGTTATTATTCTGGAAAATCTTAAAATGAGACTTAGATTAGAAAAGAATTTTCAGTTTCATTAATTTGAATTATTGCCACCATTTCCTAAAACAGGAGTCATTTGAATAAAATCCACTGGAAAGGAAATAATCCTCTGCTTATATATTTGAAATGCAAAATGAAAGTATCATAATTTACAGAGGCAAAGGGAAAATGTTCAAAGAGATATTAGGTGCAATGCATCTACCTTCTGCACATTTTCACAAACCTCTGTGTTTTCCTAAATAATGTGTTAAATTAAAAGAAGATACCGTTCTTTTTGCTTAATGTAATACAGGTACTTGCAAGCAGTTATTTAGTTTTATTTAGCATTAAAAATAAAAGCTCTTTATGCTCATCATTTACTGTGTAAGAGTGTTAAAATGCTTTACCAGGTAAGATTATTCATAATTTCATATTTAGGGCTTATTATTGAAACAGAACAGGACAGCCTAGATGGATAAAACAGACGGAAGAGCAGTCACCAGAATTAGCAAGATGAAATTCAGTTTCTACTAACTACTAGACTAAGAATGTTTATTGCAAATTCATTTTGACACAGTTAAACCAAGCACTCGAGGACAGAAATTAAGTTATGTTTGCTGTGCAAAACGTTATGGCCTTGATCTGTTCTAGCTATATTATTCTATACTAGGTCTTGAATTAATTCTATCCAATTTTAGATGCTTAACTTAGCCTAAACATCACCAATGGGAAGATACAGGAACATACCATAAAGTAGCCAGAATGTGAATTAATTCAGTTAACCTGAGTAAGTTTTTAATGGCATTTACAACCGGTTCAACATACTTAGTACTTGATACACTGTAGATAGACAACACTGATGACTGCCATAGCAAAAGAAGTACTTTCAAATTAGGGCTAATAAATTCAGGCAGGAATGGCATTTTAACAAAACTACCTTTGTTGTCTGGAACAGCTTTCTAATTAGAACAATTAACATTTTTCTTTTGAGCTGCTGCCCGGGACCGAGTCTCCTCAAAATTATAAAATATGGTCTAAATGATCTAAATTCAAGCATGTCCCACAAGCCAAAAATAGTGTTAAAACATGACCTACAAAACTTGAGATGTCTCATTCATTTATGTGCCAAGAAGCAAAGTTCTGAAAATTCTGAAGAGGCATTTTTCAGTAATCTAGGAGTTCTGAACTCACTTTGTGAAACTTTAAACAATATTTCTTTTCCACCAAATGATACTGAATCAGTTTTCAGCCTCACTGTAAATCTTTTCCTTTAATATGCTTTTTCCAAATTTCAACCTTTTTTTTTTTTTTTTTTTTTTTTTTTTACAGTTTTCAGACAACCAACTACTTGAGGAACCTCACATAAGAAGAGGGGCAGAGGGACAAGTTCAGTACAGTTTTATTTTCCTTTTAACATAAATACAGCAAGAGCAATAAATGTACAAAGAACTTACAGCTGGATAGCCCTCATTTTGATTCCACTTACCACTGGCTGGCTGCAAAGGTAACGGCAAAGTTCTCCAATGTACTGAATGACAGTCACATTGTACTTTCTGCAGTCATTCCAGAACTGACTAGCTGAGAACTTCTTTCTTAACACACAAGTTGCACCTTTATGGAAACAATAGAACAGGAAATGAAACATTTTCTCTATATGGCAGCTTAGCTAGAGATCTTCCTTATTTCTACAAAACAGAACACGAGAGGAACCAAGACCAACCTCATTCAGAGAGCCATACAATTTGGTAGTTAAGCTGTTTTACTAGAAGATGCATGTTCAAACCCTGCTAGACAAAGAAGGCAGATGAACCCACTCTTCTTCCTGAACCAGTAAACCAACCGATACACAGCGGTTACAGGAAGAAGACAGCTTTCCTTTGTTGGTGTTGTGAGATTATCCAAAAAGAGTTCACCTGAAAATATTCAACAAATTCAGCCTGAATTAGCAAATAATTTGGTGATCACTGAAACCTTTTTTCCGCAAAGAAAGTATTCATTGATGCAAATTCAGACAGAATTAATCCATAATCCTATGCATCTGATCTTCTCCCTTGCCCTGGCTTGTCTGGCTTGATGCTTTAGAAAACAGGAAACGTTTGTCATCAAGTTCCAAATAAATCTATCCTAAGAGAGTTACTGAGGTCACCTATGTTGTCTCAGTAAAATACTTATTGTGTAGTCCATGCCAAAACAGAATACAACTTAAACAAATATAAAAAGTTATTATTTCATGTAATGATATATCACAAAACTGAATATATTTACTATAAATATTTTTTCAGTCCTTTTAAGTTTACCTAAGCACGTTAGCTCTATTGCAATGTACAATGCTCAGTCTGTATACAGACTAACGTGCTATACACACTATCAAAATATTACATATCTGCCTACATTTTTTCCCTAAATATAAAAGAAAATTAAAAAATTCATGATGGAAAACACTATAAGCAATCCTTTTCCAATATCCCCAAAATAGTTGGTAAAAGAGATCCTTCTCTGTTGCAATGCACCCCTCTACCCCAAAAATATGGAACCGTAAAACTACTTAGAAAATAATTTTCATTCAGTTTAGGCAAAACATTAGTTCCCCTAATGCCAGTGAACCTAAATATGTTTTAATACATTCTCTATTAACAATGCAATTAAATTAAATGAGCCTTACCTAATTCAATGCATCCACCGATACCAAGGAGAGATGCTGCACTGTGATAAAGAGGCAGAGTAATATAAATGATGTCTTCTGCAGTAGCACCAAAAGCCCACAGTCCAGCAGCTCCTTTTAGAACCTGCATGTGACTGATAACTGCAGCCTTTGGAAGACCTATAATGAAAAAGCATCTGTTAAAGAGAAGTTAAAATTCCTTTTTTTCTCTGGGAGGCCTCTACAATTGTAACAGAATCAATATTTCCTTTCGTAGCCGGATTTTCAGCCATCCATTTAGCTAAACAGACAATTGGGTGTTTAATACAGTACTATATGTGTTTGTTCTATACACATAAAGATACGTAAGCCAGTTTGTAACCCCGTGTTAGTTGTTTAATCAGATGTCAAGTCAATTCAGATAGAGGGAAACATGAGGAAACTCCATGGCTACAGCACTATCAGATTACATAAAATCAATAGGGAGCAAAAAGCACTTATGGTACACAGGGACTTCTTTAATACGAAGTAGCATTCTAGGCAAGAACCACAGTGAGTGAGCGAAATATGCCTAGGAAATGTATGGGGTCTATACCAGGTAAAAAAGTGGCTGTTTAATCTAAAAGTGCGTTCCTCTAAAATCTAGCTACTTGATTCAGAACACTGTGAAGGCTACACAGAATTAAACGTTTTCAGCAAAAGATGCTGAGAGTCCACTCTTAATTAGGCTCTTCTCAGTGAGATCCTTCAGGTTCAGCACAGAATTTCTGTTCAGTGACACAGAGACCGACATGCTAGAGCTAAGAGCTCTCCTTGGGCTCCTCTCTGGTACTCACTGTGTGGAGTCGGGGTTTTTTTCTGGACACAGATGCACACATGCAAGAAATCCAGGCTTGTTCCTGATGAGGAGAACAGGGAACTTGTACAATTGTAATGAAACAGAACTGATGAATTCCATAACCCCTCATACTGATGGGAATAGGAAATAAGCCTATGCTGTCAAGGAATCACTTAGAGCAAGGGGTGTTCTAGAGAAAGTCTTGAGTTGCTTTCCTTCTGCCTTTACAAACAGCTAACTACAGACTTTGCAAGATACTACTTTCTTTTAACCAAGTTTACTGGCCATTAGTTATATGAGCAACGCTGTGTTCTTGCGTTATCAGAAAGTGAGAAAACGCTGAATTATTTTAGATTAGAACTATGTATTCCATATTCAGACTAAACAACCCTTATTTTTTTTAATTACATGGTACACATAAGAAATGCAATGTAAACTACTGTTACACATAAAAGCATTCAAAAATACTTTTAATCCCACATGACTAAAATGATTCATCGAGACCTTACACAGATATTCTGAATGCAGTTACAAGAACAAGACTGCAGCTTCCCTGGAGGATTCCATAATATTGTTCCGCCAGAACTCCTCACTTTTACCAGCAAGCTCAACTAGATTTGTATTAGTAGTATTTCAAACATACCTGACCTCTGAACAATATTTAGAGCTTTTTATTTTTTTTCCCCCTATTCTAGAACTACACTTTTATTTCTCAAATTATTTCCCACACTCCAAAACAAACACATAATTATTTGTGTGGGGGAATCAAGCCATAAAATGCATTTTGATTTGAAATCTTCTTGTGGCTAAAACTGCAGCATTCAACTGAATGAGAATGCCAATCTGCTTATCTTAACAACATCACGCTGCTTTTCATGTCAGTGATCAGTTTTTACAAAGTCTTAGCTTCTTAGCTGCTGGAGCACTGGTAATAAATTCAGCCATCTGTTTCTAAACTAAAAGGCTAGTAACTTAATCCTATTTTCTGTCTCTACAGTGACCTGCATACAAGATGACTTAAGGAAGAAGAACTAAACGTGTATTTGCTTATTTTAAAATGGCTTTCTAGTGTTCTGGATAAAATATGAGCTATATTAGCTATACTGTATTTTGTGATCACAAAATAGTATTATTACAGTTGTAAATCCTCAAAATAGGCAAAACATTTTGTAACTACATTAGTTGTTACATAATAAAAGAAGATAAAACTTCTTTCATACTATTTGCGCAATTTGGCAAGAAAGGAGGAAGAGAAGCTCCTAAAACAATAAATATAAATAGTCACTGATAAGAAGCATGCTTATTTCCTACCATAATGCTTCTAGATATGAAATGATACAAAGACTCATAACAGATTCCAAAAAATAAGTTTCCAGAAGAAAGCTTTAGGAAAATATTGACTCTTTAGGAGACCTGTACCTGTTGTTCCTGAAGTAAATATGTAGAGAACAGATGACTTGAGGTTGTTTGCAGAGCGTCGATCAACTGGAACAGGGTCTTCAGAAGCAGCCTCTATTTTGTCTAAAAGGGTATGCACACTTGGCAAAGCGGAGTCTTTGGTCATTATCCAAACACTAACGTCTTTTTGGAGGTTAGGAAGAATTTCTTCTAGAGTCCCAAGCAAATCTTGAAAATCAATATAAAATAACGTTACTTACCTTACATCTTCATGAAACTAAATTCAAGTGAAGTATTTTTTCTCTGACAGTTTTAATCTTTGTAATAGAAAGAGGAATAACGGACATAAATGCATACAATAAAATGATGAACTGGAATGGAAATTCATTGAAAATAGCGTATAATTTGTCACAAATATTGCTGACCCCATGCGATCTAAATGTCAACAAGCTATCAAGGGAAAATAGTGAGCCTTGATTGCTATCTTCTGGTTCCCACCTCATTTTGCATAACCATCGATCATTTCTAAGACCAGAATACAGTGTAGTTAAGCTTCAGCTTCAAATAAATGATCAAGAAATCAGTTAATGATGCAAGGCAAATATATACACAGCCAGTAATTATAACCCAGGTTTCCCACAACAGCAATCTATCGTCAAGCAGGATTTTTTCCAAAAGCACAGAAGTGACTCATTAAAAAAGAAAACAGTCCACATTATCGTGTATGTAGGTGCCCGAATTTCACAGAATGAAAATATGGCACAGGCATCAGCTTATTCAGACCCTTCTGAAAAACCATGTGCGTACTTATGTGGTTCTTTAGGTGTTTCATATACTTCGGCAAATCTGATTTTAACTACCTTAGAAAATTTTCTCAGAACCACGCGTATATTCACTGAAAGCCATTCCTTCTATTAGCTTTTTCCTGCAGATAAATACAAATTCAATTTTATAAAATAAAAACAGTAGCATAAATAAGCAGGAAAGAAAAAATGATAGAGAGTCCCAGATTAAACAGGAAGAAAATATATAAATAGAAGCCAAGTCCTAAGTAATGCATTTGGTATTTATTTTTATTTATTTATAGTAATTTTTCAGTCTGCCACATTCTCAGAACACTGCACAGACATTAAAGTACTAATCTAGCAAAATTCTCAAGAAGAGGAAAACTCATATTGTCAATGGAACTATTCATACACTTAAAGATACATTTATACTTAAGTGCTTTGCTGGATTGCAGCCTACATAATTAATCTTGTAAATAGCCCTGCAGGTATAAATGTAAGTTATTATCTCAGTTTTTATAGACGGAAAAACAAAATTGAAATGACTTGCCCAGAACCTCATAATGAGGCATTGCCAGTGCCAGAATTTGAACTCCTGACTTCAGTCCCAAAGTCTTTTCTCAAAGGTACAGATACAAGTAAAAAACCCTTGCATAAATTTTACACTAACATAAGCAAAGATTTTTAATCTTTCAGAAAACTACTTTTCTAATGTCAGACTACTGAATATGTTTTAATGACTAACATATTAATTTCCTTTACCATAATACAGAGAGAGCCTATAGTCCCTGACTAAACAAATATCTTACCAGCCTAAAGCCCATACAGGACAAGTTCTGTATATTCTATGAATTTTTGCGGTGTTCTATATAAGATTTAGCAAATATATCTGATTGAGCGTGACGTTTATGTTTTTCTGTCCTAACTTCTTTACACAGCAGAATGATTTCAGGAAGAAATCGCGTCAAGAAATATAAAAGACAGTCTCCTATGTGAAATTAGAATACTTCCCTTCCACTATATATAATAACAGACAAAATATTGAGACTGGAAAGCAATCTTAAGGACAAGAGTGTTTTCTGAGAAAAACCTGATGCCCTGGAAATGAAGTTTCCATTGGCATAGTAATTTTGCTTTGCTGCCATAATGTAAAATTAGGGCATATTTTTGTAGCCATAAATATGAAAATAAAACAGTACTATTTCTAACGGAAAATAGCTATTAATTAACCTAGCGTGACAGATAACGATATGCTGTTTAGCTTCTGGTATTGACTTCTGTCTTCCTTTTAAGCATGTGTCCTAAACACACGAATAGTTTGTCTGGTGCGAGTTGGGTTAAGTGAGAACCTATTAAGAGAAACACGTGTCTGAAGCAGCTAGAGCTGCATTTCTGCTCTGAAAAAAGCTACAAAAAGTACAGCAGTCTCTGTCGCTGTTTATTGGTGCACAGACAAATCCATGAATTACTGCAGAAAGGAGAATCAAAGGTGATTTGCTAATGATGAAGATTTCTTGGTTTCTCCAACAGCCAGTTATCATTTGACCCAGACCCAGTTGGCCATCTTGTGTCTCGCATCTTTACCAGATATCCAGTGTGATGTACAAATACTGAGAAAAACAGCCCAATAATTGTCATCATATACGATTATCACTTTTACTGTAAGTAAAGTGTAATTCTATTTGAAAGCTTACCTGTTGTTTACTTGCAAACTATTCTCTTGCAAAACACATGGCAAAAAACAGCCACATATCACCATTTTTTAGACAACACAGAGATTGCAGATACCAAAGGGGCCATTACTGAATCTCCGTTTCTTAAAATATTCTGCTATGTATATTTTTGAAATTATGAAAATGAAGCTGTATTACCTACCAACTGTTGATTTTTCTACTGAAGAAGTTTTTGTTGATGGCTACACAACATGAAGAAATGCACACATCTTTCTAATTTTTTACTGTACAGTACTTCCAGATAAAATGTGCACTGAATTCTTTATGTATCTGAGTGATGTAAAGTGAAAGTCTATAAAAAAGTGGACTTTAGTACAACTAAACATATTTCCAATATTACAATAAGCATATTTACAATATATTACAATAAAGCCTAATCAAGTATCCCCCTTTGAAGGGAGAAAAAGGTCAACTACTACTTTCAGTTATACAGACATCATTATTTAAGAATGAAAGCAAGACCTAGCTCCCTTTTAGTAGACTGAAACATTTACTCCAAATAATTGAGGTGGATTTGCTATTTCTTCAGATTTACTCCTATAATCTACAGTTTTTGTTGTTGCATGCTTTTTTTAAACTAGTACTGAACATTGGTTCTATGAACTGATTATACAATAGAATTTTTCTCTTGTGCGCAGCAATTCAGTACTTGGAACAATTTATGAACTGTTTGTAATTGTATGTTATCTTGAAAGAGATTTCTGGTTAGATAGCAGAAAACAGCAGAAACAATAAGTGATTTCCTGAAGAAAAAAAAGGGGTGGTAATTTAAAACATCTGTATTCAAAGAGCCAGAAGCTTGAAATTGCTTCTGGAACATGGATGAATACGGGGTGTTTGAGGAGAGCTCTCAGTTGTACTAATATATCTCCAGAGAATAATTCTGATCATAGGCAGCTAATGCGTTGTTCCACGAACAAAGAATTTCTGTGCCAGATGTTGTAAAAAGCTTGTTGGTCTTTATGTACGGTCCTGCCCATGTGTCAGGACTAGATGGAGAAACTATAGTTCAATTATTTCTAGAGATACCTAATAGGTGTACTTCACCATGTAGTAAAGCAATCTAGATATTTCAAGCTTGCAGTTCATCTCAGGTACTTGTTTGCATTTCAAACTGTGAAATTATATTCAGGTTTTGGTTTATTTGCTTTGGAAGAAATGATTATTTATCTAAAGTTTGGCAATAACCAGCAGTTCTGTGTGCACTGTTTACACTGTGTATATGAATATTCACCATTTGCTTCTGCTTAAAATAAATAAATAAAAAATCTGTAATTGCTGGAAATGAAGATGCTTCTCCCAACATTTTTCCCCTCTTGCCTTTAAAGCATCTCATCGCTTAACAGAAAGTTGGTGAAACAGTATGTTAAGTTCACATGAATATATAAAAGTCAGTTACGTCTTCTGAGAAAGCTGGCAAAATATGTTTTAGCTTTAAACTACTGTCCTTGGCTTCAAGTTGCACAGAAGTTTTTTTATACTATTTTCTAACAAAGAAACAATGCGGCCTATTGGCAAGCAGACACAGTCCGAAACAGATGAAAGGAATAAATCAGATCATGAGATCAACTTGTACTGAACAGAAAGTTACTCAGGAAAAAAAAAAAAAAAGCTGTATGAAATGGTTCTTACACAAGTTTGATGCGTACCCTGGTTGATATGCTCAGTAAGCTATGGCAAACCTAAACCCTTTCCCACCCTGTCTGGCATCTGAAAATAACTGGTACCTGCACGTGATTCCCCAGTGACTCTCTACGCTCAGTCCCCTGAGCCCCCTTTTCTCATTACGGAATAATAACAGAAATCTTTACAACTCAGGTGTGGCTCAGGATCAGTGTGGCATCTTGAAATGCCACTGAAGGCAGTAAAGGTAGTAAACACAAGCAGGCTTGGGAATCACAAACAGTTGGCACTGTTCTCCAATCAAAGGATATCTGTGATAGAGTTACAGACTAAAAGAGAAGCAAGCAAGATATTGAAGAGATACAGCGTCAAAGACAGCAGTTAGGAGTGTCTTCTGCAGGTCTTTCACTATTCCTTTACCCTGGATGTTTAGAGATAGCTTTGATCATTTGTTCCATGGAGTTAAGAAAAGATGAGATATTTGACAAAGTACTAATAGTTTTCATCCATTCATTTTTCATACAATCAGTGACTAATATCTGAGTGATGATCCTGCTAATTGTATATCATACCATATGAGCTTAATTCACAAATGCCAAAAAAGATGTTGTTTACTTTCTCCGGGATGTAAAATCATTTCTGGCTGAACTTCATCCTGCCAGCATAAACGCTGCTTCAGAGCTCACATGATGAAAAGTGCAGAATACATTCAGCAGTGGCAGAAAGCAATAGCGGTTTTTCTTTGGGCCAGAAGGCTTGTAGGCACTACTGATGCCTCAAGAGTAAAGAATCCTGGCCAGGAAAATGCTCTGCTTTGAACAGCTAAGAGATATAATTCTGTACACTCCCTTTGCTATGAGGACTGATGTAAACCAAACTTACAGAGTTTAGTAACACAGTGCTTTCACAGCCGAACCCCTGAATCAGAACTCATGATGGCAACCCGAGATGTCCTCCTGAGCTGAACTCCTCCCAGTAGCTACACAGTGTAAAGGCACTGGAAAACTCCCCGTGTACCTCTCTGGTGGGATTATAAATACCGTCCACTAGTCATCGCTTTCACACAACTACCGCTCAAAAGATAAAG